AGTAAAATAACAAGATTTAAAAGGTGACAATGGACCTAAGAAAAATTCTGATAATCAAAACAACATTATTATACATAAAATACATGAATTAGAGAAAGCAATTGCAAATTCATATGGAGAAAAATAGACTAACGTCATGAAAGAAAGACTCTAAATAATGAGTTACTTCTATTCAGAGGAAAAATATAGAGTTTAAAATAATGAGAGTAATTATGATAGCTGTGGAGGACAAAGATGATCCAACATAAAAGTTACTTCTTTCTCTGAAATAAAAACTCAGCAAATCTAACTGAAAGCTATCAAGTGATAGAGAAAATTTCCCTTAAATGAAAGAAGTGAAATGGCAAACGCGTATCAGGCATCTAGACAGAACATCCATGTCATCAGCAAAAGAAAAACACCAAGCTGCCCTCAGACTGTTTATGGCAAAATTCAGTGCTAGAATTTAACAGAGCAGTGAGTTGACAGGAAAAGAAGAGATGAACCATTAATAATATTCTCAGCACAGAATAAGAAAATAGATACTTTTTGAATGAAATATTTCAGGCTTTAATAAACAAACTATTAACATTGAAATACAAGTAAGGATGAAATGATTCAAATAATGAAATCAGTCATAGAGAAGCCATAATAAAAGGAGGACTGGTGGTGAGTACTGCAGCCATCTATATAGAGAATTAAGACCAAAGAGCCAAGGTAAGTAATGTTGCAGAACAGAATGCAAATACTATGAACTCAGACAAAGTTAAAATAATATAATTGTCCAAAAAACTGAAAATGAAGAAGGGTGAGGACAAATTGGAGAGAAGCTAATCACCTCAAATTGCACTGCGGGGAGTTCATGAACACTGTCTGAGATTAAAACATGGTGCTAATGCATCCAGCTTCTTAATGATATGCATAACCTTTTATTCTTAACTGTAAAGGTGAGCATTTAAAAAATTTTGTGCTGAATAAATATTTATGTTTAGCTATTCTCTTTAATTTATTTCAGGTTATATTTCTTCTATTAAATTATGTATAATGTATTAATTATAAATAGCATGTATATATGTATATATGTCTCTACATACCTATCTTTTTACTTGTGCACATGTATAATTGTATATCTGTGATAATTGTTCACCATATGTTAACATTTTTTTGCTTTGTTTTGTTTTGTTTTTTCTGAGTGTAAAGATTTGGGGATGGTTTATAGTTATTTTTTTTTTAACTCGAATAAAGACATTATAGAAAAATAATAAATTTCACCTGTATTAAACATCTAAGTACAATATGATGATAATAATGATGATGATAAAATGATTATAGATGCCTGCAGATATATCTTTGTATGAATTGGTTTGTATGGGAGAAAGAAACCTACATAAAGATTTGTATGGGAGAAAGTTACCCGACAGACAAGGTCAAAAATTAGCATGTTGTATAATTAGCATGTTCTGAGCTTTCCTGGTCCTGGTCCTGTGTCTGAATTCTAGAAAGAAGCATTGAATGCACAGGGGAAAAAATTGGTTGTAACCAAGAACTGGGTTAGCATCACATCTCTGATGCCAGGTGAAATGATTGGGCATGAAGGGGAGAGCAGATCCTTACTCAGCTCTGCTAACACAAGAATCATAAAGAACACAAATGTCTTTGTTTTGCTGTGGAGTTATTGGAACTGGGATTTTCTGGTAGCAGTTTCCTGGCACAATGATCAATCTGTCATACAGGATGCTGGGATCAGGGGCCAGTGATGAGGTACCACCTTAACCTAGGATCCTTGAACAGAAAAAAAATTAATGAGGAAACTGTTCAGCTGTCATATAAAGTTAAATAATATTTTAAGAAGTTCTGAAGACCTGCATGAGGCAAAATTTCTGTTAAGAATCAGTGTAAAGCAGCTAATTTCACCACCTTAGTACTTTAGACATGAAACCTTGGGAAACATACTCTAATTATATTTAAAAACAAAACAAAACAAAAAAGCCTGGTGATTACATGTCTTAATTTCTTGCTATTTCAAAAATTTTGACCTAATTTTAGACCATGTGCATTGAAGGTTGATTCAGAATGTTATTATCATTTATTTAAGGCGGCCCTAAATTCCACATCCTTCAGTATTCTATCTGAAGAAAAATATATATTTAACTTCATAAATGTTCACTGAGTTCTTACTCTCTGAAAACAATATTATTAATTTTGAAAGATGCATTGAATTCTAAAATATTTCAAACAGGGAATGTAATGTTTTTCTGTGTATTGATATGATGGACCACTTAGAAATTGCTGATTTTTTTTAAAAGCATGAAGAAGAAAGTAAACCGCAATAGATAATAGTAGAACTTCAACTATCTATAGAAGTTTGGTGGCGGTGGCAAAGGGCCAGTTAGCTTGTAGAGTAGAAACAACCCCTGGTTTATTAGGTTAGGAGACTAGAAATATGTATCTGTGGGCAACTTCATGTTCTGATGGATAGACATATCTCTATTACCTTTCCATGTGTAGAATTAAATATTTACATACCCAGAAGTAACTTTAAGTAAGAAAATTATTTATTTCAGAGTGAAATACTGGTTAAATATAAAGAAGGCAACCCACCAACGTTAGTGCAGGAAAACACACAAACTTCTGCACACACAAAATTCAAAATCACAGGAAACAATCTGTACAAATCAAACTGTACACAGTATTATTTTTCTTAGCTTAATTGAATCTTTATACGTACCTTTTGAATTTGATAAATTTCCTGATCTTAGACCTACAGGAACTTTGATATTTTATCATAAAAATATTTGAATACATACAAATATATGGAAAGATTGACATGTACAGTAGAATATTTTTAATTTAAATATAATTTCTCCTAGTATTACTGAATTTCTTTGTATTCTTTCTTAACCAAAGAATTAATTACGTTGATAATTTTCTACAGAACTAACTTTATTGATGAGAAAATTAAGTCTCAGGGAAACCATGTCTGGCTTTTAAAACAGTGAATAGGCTTTATGGCAAGGAATGAACAACTGCATGCATTCACGGACAAGATCATTTTAATGGGTGAACTGCTTATAAAAGATATATTTTTCTCCTTATTTTAAATATTTATTTTTGTAGAGTATGTGTAGAGAAATTTTCAAGAGATATACAGGTCTCCTTCCTTTTCTATTCTCAAGTCACACCTCCTTGTCTGCCTGCTGATGAAACATGCTCCCTCCTGCCTGTGCTGTGCCACACTTCGCAGTTACCTAGAGGCAATGATAATGAGAGGAGATATGGGAAGGACAAGCAACAGGACTGGAGATGTGAAAGGGAGCATAGAGATTTCAATCAGTACAGTGGGTTTTAGAAATGCTTGTGAGCTTGAGGTTGCAAACTTTCTCAGGGATAAAGGTTAAGAAGCCGGACTGCTACCACCTCACACTTCAAGGTTATAAAATCAGTGGATTCTTTTGTATTAGGTCCCAGTTTCCCAGGAGAATCTTTGTTAACACCCATTGTTGTACTCTCAAAAATGTTCCAGCTGGAAAGGTAAATTCTATGACCTGCCTGTTGGCAGAGGGCTTCACAATCCTACTCTAAATTGTATTTCCCAGCAGCCACTGCGAATTGGTCTAAAATTAATGCATTTTCAAAGAAGTTTCTGCCTATGATTACTCTTACCTTCTTCCTATGTTAAGTAATTTCTTGATTGCCACATATGTTTTCATTTCTCCAAATGTTAAATTGTTTAATGCTACCAAACACAATAAGAAATCAGTAAATAACTGTGAGTGGCAGTGAATTCCAATCAGAGGGAAGACACTAACATGTGTAAGCATGTTATTTTTCAGTTTGCATAAAAATGAAAAAAACTTTTTTAATTTTAAGTTTAGTTATTTTTTTTTATCATTTAATCATGTAAGTTTAGGTGTTCATACACATGTCTATATGTTATTTGTCTGACCAAAACCCAGAAAGTAATCTCGGCATACAATTTCTAGTACACAGAGTAGCAGTCTATATAATATATTAGTGAAGCTCTACAGTTCACGTAAGAAAATAAAATCTAAAGTTAATATAATTACTCTAATTAAAAGTTTTATGAAAAGAACCCTCTGCTCTGTTTTTACTTTGATATTTAGAGGGAAAATAGCTTTAAAGCAAAATATCAAATTATTTCTTACTATGCAACTCATTTGCTAAGATATTATATTTGTAATATTAAAACATTGTTTTAAATATGAAAGTCTAAAAATGACTTTCATATTTATGAAATAAGGTTAATAATCTTTCCACATTTTATATAACAAGGTTTCCATTTTTTCTGTCTTGATAAATTTATTTTCATAGCTACATACATATCCCAGGGCAGTGCCCAATAGGTTTAAAAGTTTCTAGTTAGATTCTGATGTATCCAATAACATGTACTACTTTCTGAGAGGTAAGACATTTAAGCCAAAATGAACGTCTAAATTATAATCTTTTAAATTTTAACATGCTGCTAAGTGATAAAACACACAGGACACATACATTTGAAAGGATAAATATACTTGTTTTAAATAACATACATACAGAAATAAATTTAATTTCTATACTACGATTCTTTGTTGTCTCTTAGAAAATGCATGTCCATTAAAACTAAAAGGATTTATAATATATTAAACTAAAACACCTTATTCAAGTCAGAGCTTCCTAGAAATATACTCAAGATATATCAAATGCCCCTTTTGGAATTACTATAACTGTGTATTTTTAACTTCCATCGAAAAGAGAGGGGCAAGTTTTATAAACTAAAAAACAAAAAACAAAAAACAAAAACACCATAGTTTAATCCAAAATTGTTTTCTAATTTGTTAGTTTAAAACTAACTTTCACTGGTTTTTCAATTTTTCCATTGTTTTGATATCTTCAAGGAAGTCTTTAACGTAAGGAAATTTAAATACATACTGAAGAGATAAGGGGGTTCTATCCTCCTATTTCAAGCTAAAACATAACCTCTAAATTATCTTTTACAGTAAGCCAAAGCCAGTATCACATACCTTTCGGGAATGAATTTCTTTCACATACAATGGAAGTAGAAACTCAGATATACCTTCAAGTCGGATTCCCTTCTTGGTGACTCTCAGATTTCCCATACCATCCTACAAGCAATGAAATATAGTTCACTTTTAGGTTAATTAGAGAATGAATAACTGGCCATAATTTTCTTAGGCCTAAATTGAGAAAACAGTAAGCTCAGATCAGTGATGATTTAAGGAAAATGAGAGATCGAATCTACTTAATGAATAACTGCAGTAGTTTGCATGCATATAGAGGGCTCTGTTTAAAATGAACAAGAGGACAAGAGGAGCATAAAGGACCTTGTATCTTCTACCAGCCTATCAGATGCTAGGATTTATCTATGAATAAATCTTGTACTTCCTTCATGCATCAGCCAGTTTAACTATTTATTAGGTATAATGATACCTGCTACCTGACTATTAGAAACTACTTTGCAGAGAGATCTAATAATATTTTTAATTACAGTTACACATATTTCTATAATATTCATAGTCTCATTTGTATAATAATTTCAATAAGTAATTGACTCACTAGTATAAGTAAAAATGGTGTTCCAGCATTCAAATCATGAGTAAAGCATATGTCCTCTCCTTTAGAAAACACCACTCTATGAGGAGGATAAAATAAGTACATAAATAATGTTTATGAGACAGAGTAAAATAAATTAAAAAAAAAAGTAAGAACAGGATGTTAACGGGGATTAAAGAAAGGAGATTTTGAACATGGTAAGAAAGTATATCATATCTCATGGAAGAAACTGACTATGATCAAAGCCTTCATAATATGGAATTTTTAACAAGAGATTTCCACAGAGGGAGGAGCGAAATGAATATTCTGGTAATGCTGAGGAAATAACATGACATCCAATTGGGTTACTGTATGAAATATTGTGATAGAAAACACCTGAGAGAGTACGTTTTGAGGTCAGAGAAAGGAAAGTCCTAATGCAAAGCTAAGGAGTCTGTACTTACTTCAGCATCCAAGAGAAGAAATAATATAAGTTCTTGAAAAGCTAGCTCAATGGCTTGAAATTATTAGCATTAAGCTTTAAGATTAATCTGGTAGAAATATGATGTGGGGCTGACAGAGTATCGGTAATAATACAGAAGTTGGTAATAAGTGTAAGGTGTATGGTAGAACAACCTACAGAACATGGTGACTAATTTCATCTGGAGACACTGAAAGGCGGCATTTACAATTAATCCAAGATTTCACAACTATGACTAAATAAGAAAATGTAGTGAAATTCTGCATTTTGTAAATTCAGTGGCAAAAATAAGTTCAGCTTTTGTCTTTCTATCATTGAAAAATTCAGATATTTATCCATCAACCAGCACATCTGTAGAAAGTGGGTTAAAGGATGACAATGGCTTAAGGTTTGAATCTATTATGATGGATGAGCAAATACTGTGTGGAAAGATGTATGTAAAACAAAGGAGAAACTCAGGTAATGACTTAGGTCTGTGAATTGACAAGAAAGAGGCTGTGATCCGTAGTATAAGAAAAAGCCAAGAGATTATGATGGCCTCAGGCTCTATACCCTGCATATTTATTCCCAAAATAAAAAGCCAGTGCAGTAGCATAACAATAAATAAAATTTTGAGTAAAAATTAAAAGACTTTCTTTTTAAATTCAAGATCTCAATTTTCTCATTGAAGGAGAAAGTAACAGATTCTAGTTGAATTAAATTTGGGATGGGAAGAAATAATTCATTTCTTGAGGCTCAAACTTAAAGCTGACACTGGAAATGCCTAATAGGAAATTATCTAACAGTTATATGTGTGTGTGTGTGTGTGTGTGTGTGCGTGCGTGTGTGTGTACATACATGAGAATTTTAAGCATCATTAATGGGTGATTTCGATGAGAAAATAGTCTATTTTTGTTGGGATGATGACATACTCTGGTTTCTCTGTTTTATTATACCAGTTTTATTATATCCTCTTTCACTTTCAAAAGTGAAAAGTGTCTCTGATTTAGACATTAATTACATAGTCACCCATATACTGGTTCCAATTAGTGTGATTTTGCAACATTATACCTACCTAGGAAAGACAGAGGCAGAATTAACAGTTAAAGACTCAAAACTGAGGATTTACTAGGCCAAAATGGCAGAAAGTCATAATAACGTGGTGTTCTGAAGTAGCAAAGATGATGCCCCTCAAATATCTAACCATTATTTTTCTCATTGGGTAGGAAAAAATAAAGCCTAACAGCAATGTTGGGCTGCAAAAAATAGCGCATGGTGAAAGAATGATAATTGATAATGAATAATCAGGTTTAATAGGGGTTGAGAAATATTAGATAAAGGAAGACAGGTTTATCACCAGAAAATGGAACTTCGGATTCTGAGATCTTGATGGTGAGAGAATTTTCAGATATAATGAGGCGTAAAGAACATTCAAGCAGTGGTGGCAGAAGTAAAATGGAAAAAATTCTGTAATTTGGAAAGCCAGTAATATTAGAACATATGGAATTACACATGGCTTTAAAGTATTATATTTTTTCAAGGGACTTTTTGAACTAAATCTCACACAATGACTGTCCACATATATTCTCAAATGCCTATCAGAAAGAAGTATTTTGAAGTATTCCTCATGGAGTTACTGTGGAAACATCTAATGCAACTGACTATCTCAGGGCAATAAAAAAATTCTATAATAAACACAATTCCCAGTTCAATACTAATCTTAAAAATTATTTTTATGAAAAGGTTTGAAATAAAAGAATTAGACATCCAAATTAAGTATAATACTGCTTATGCTATATGCATATTTAATTTTGGAAAGTTTTAAAGCTTAAGCTCAGTGCTTTCTTTTATATTTTCTATTTAATATATAATTTGAGACATATAAATAACATTTCATTTAAATTAGATGAAATAGAATTATCAGGTATAAATGTAGAACTGTTATTATAGTATTTTGTTGTGAATCTAATCTCACTCCATGTCTATTTGTCCCATCTTTTATTTCTTCTGTTTTATATTATTTTCAAAATGTTTCATATTATCTTCATGTAGTTATAAAATACAAAAAGTTATATAATATTCAGTATATAATCAAGCTGAGTCTCACATTCAGACATCAAGTCCATTAATAATTTATGAGATGATAAATTATTTTTTGCTCTCTTCTCATCATCACCTACCTTTTATCTGGTTTCCTTTCTAGAGGAGCGTTAGACAGTGAATTTATTCCTACTGTCAATATTCCTTTATAATTTACTGTATTCTTGGTTCCTTCAACATCTAAAGAGGAGAAACCAATCTCTGGATTTGCTGTTAAGGATGACATTGCCGCAACACTAGTAAGTAACAGAATCTAAGGTACTTATGGCCCAGTCTCCAATCTTGGCTCTGCCACCCTCTTCCTATATAAACTTGAACCACTTAACTAATTCTTTGTGTATTTTGTCATCTGTAAAATTAATAATATCAGAATTTGTTACATATTCATTGCAAGGATTCCTTAAAGATTAAAGAGCTTAAAATAATGCCTATTTTATGTAGCAGTACTCAATAGTTTTTAACCATTATGAACATTTTATTCAAAATTACTCAAATTTTGTCTCATATTATAAAGATTTGTATTGTTTATTTTCAGAGGGATTATCTTTGATCTTCAGTAGACTCATCAAGCTTTATCACTGTTACAGTTATGATGCTTTTATTCATTACCTAGTAATCTCACAACCACTTATTTACTTTTGACAGACTCTAAAGTATCATTTTAGAAGGGAACATGGAGCCAGACAGCTTGGACTTGAAATTTGACTATTATTTACTAACTGTTGACTTCGGTATGTTGTTTAATCTATCTTAATCTAAATTCATTTTCTATAAATATCAGAAAATAAAAAATAAACAACAGAAAATATTACAACATCATAAGGATGTTATAATAATTTAATGAGATAATATGCAGAGAGTTTATGACTGGATCTGGCATGTTTCTGATAATTATTCCCTGTACTGGTAGATTATTTAAAATTAATAGATTAATATTACATATAATTAATCTCTAACTAACATGTGTTTTCTAATCAACCTCTCTCGTTTTCATTTCTTCTTTTCCATTCCCTATGGCACTGCTGAAGTTGAAGACCATTTCATCTGCAATCTCGCAGCTGCCTCCAAACTTACATTCCTGAAGTACAAGATTACAGTTTTTACACTGTCACTTTATTGAATTATTCCTTATTCTTGCTCAAAAACCCACATTGCCACAGCCCTGGGATTATAGATTTATCTTCTCCATTTTGAATGTTTAGTGTGCTTGTATTTCTAAATAATCTATTGTGAACATTATTATTTTCACTTTATGGGGAAATACCACAAAACAATCTCTTCTACTGTAGCTCCTCCTTCTTTACTATATATTTTCAAGACTCTTTAAGTTTCTTACACAATTCTTTGTTTTTCAGATTTTTTGCTCTCTTCTCATCATCACCTACCTTTTATCTCCACTAAACTGAACTGCTAGCATTTCTCAGAAAAAGCTGTTTTGCCATTACAATTTCTTAATCGATGTATTTCATTTGCTTGAAATGCTCTACTCTCACCTTTTCTTAATACTTTTACCCATCATTCAAGGCCCAGTCCAAAGAAAGCCTTGGTTATATCATAGTCAGAAATAACATTTCTCCCTACTATTTCTAAAATGCTATATTTGTTATTTCCCATGAACCGTATCATATTCTGATTCTAGTTTTAGGTATATATCCACTTTTATCTCTTTAAAAGTGTATGATCTTATTTATCTATGTACTCATTTCCTCTTTTAGCATAGTTCTTCTAATAGTGGATTTATAAAGTATGTGGTAAAGTAAATGCTTGATTATTTAATTGATCAGTAAAATTTAGATCTTGATAAAAATAAAACAAAAATTTAAATTGATAACCTTATAAAAATCACACTATCATCAAAATTCATAGACTTTGCCTTTAGAAACTGCAAGCGATATTTATTATAATTGTCATGCACTTGAGTTTTTGAATAAAGTGAATACATTGTTGAGAAATATTTTTTTGGAATTTATTATGAGAGGCTGACTTTAAAATAAATTATGTAATCAAAGAGAA